CGCAGAGTGCGCAGGCAAGTTGGTAGGGGGTTACGAGGTCGCCGAGGTAGGGGGAATCCTCCCAATACGCAACCCAACACCTCAATACACCTGCCCGAACACGTCAGAGCCACAGGTGAGAAGATGTTGATGGGAATCGAGGATGGCTTCTGTCTTGCCCAAATTAAGCTGAAGGTAGTTCCCCCATCAAAAGCCTTGATATCAAACAAGTAGGAATTGGTAGAAACCCATCAGCCGGGTGTCTGATGTACGCAGAAACCCATCACCGTGATCTGATACAGAGAGACAGAGACAGAGAAACCCATCAGCAGATTTTAAGATTCTCCAGACTGAAATGTTCCAATACACGTATGCCATCTGCGCACGGAAATATTCCTGTATCTGGAAGGGAATCAAGACATACCAATGAGACCCAGCAGATGGTGCTAAATCTAAACATGGCACAAAGAACAATAATGTTCTAATGAGTTATGCATTCACTGAATCTGAAGGCCTTCCTATTCAACCGTGTCTACAGTCCTCCCCCCACTCCCCCCTGGCTCGGTGTGGTGCTCTGCCACTGTCAATTGCTCTGCGATACTCCCCTGCTTGAGGCGGTGCTATATAAATGCAAGTTGTTGTGTTGTGTTGTTGCTGAGAGGAGGAGCAAAGGAGGATCATTTTTCTTTAGAAAAGAACGAGCAGTGCTATCCACAGCCAAGTAAAATATTTTTCAAAGGAAGGAAGCTGTAACCAATTAGCTGAAAACCAGTTAGCTGAAGGCTTAGAAAGACGTAGGCGTGTTCCAATGCTTCTGAAGGCTGAACATTGCTGACTTGGTACACAGAGTGACGAGAAACTTGGACAGAGTGGACGATGGTCTGGGCTGTGGGTTTAACGTTGCCTGTGGTGCTGTGCTCTCTGGGCCTCACCGCTGTGTGTCTGCTTGCTTTGTTGGCCTGGCTGGTGTCCGGCCGGACGACAGGGAGGGCGGTGGAGGGGAAGGGCAGAGCCGTGCTGGTCACCGGCTGTGACACAGGCTTCGGACATCTGCTGGCACAACAGCTGGACGAGCTGGGTTTCCACGTGTTTGCGGGCTGCCTGTCCACACAGGGGCCAGGGGCACAGACCCTGGCACAAACCTGCTCCAGCAAACTGAGGGTTTTCAAAATGGATGTCACTCGGGATGAAGACGTGGCTGCAGCGAAGGAATACGTGCTGTCCAACCTACCCCAGAAAGGCATGTATTGCAATCACCGACCAGCGCTAACTTCTACAGCGCTTGTCACATCAGAGGAGGGCCGATTACACGTTAAAAGGAGATGAGGGAGTGGAGGAAGAGCTGTTGAGAAAGAAGTGGGAGAGGGGTAGGGTGACTGAAAACATCGGCAAATCAGGAAGTGCTGGTAAACATCAGAGCCACATCTGTACTTTGCAATAACCTTAAATGCAATTACACTTGGATTGAAAAAGTAAACCCAGATCATTACTTTCAGATGAACCGAGACAGTAGAACAAGAGGACACAGGATTAAGAGCTGTAAAGGGGCAATTTCAGGACAGAGATCGGGAAGTGTTTTGGAGGGAAGAGATCAGATGGGCCGAAGCGTCTTCTTCATCCGAACCCATCGTGTGATCTTGTCTTGATAGCACAGGGTTTAGGTCAGTCACAGGGGGAAGTGAGGCTGAGCTAGTTAATTAGCATGAACCAAGGGGCATTTCCAAACCAATGACTGATGAGAAATTGATATCAAATGTAACGATTATTATTCTTATTATTGTAAATATTCATCTCGTGAGATGCGTTTATTAATGTCCGTTCACAGACGACCTTTTGTACAAATTACCCCGCAAAAATACAACATATGTTGACTCAGCGTGTCTAAGGCCAGGAGTGTGTCTCAGGGTGATCGGCAATGCTGCTGATCTCTGAGCTGTGCTGTGTGTGGAAGGAAGCGATAACACAGCAAAGAAATAATTCATGTGACAAAGAGCACAGCAAACAACAAGGCGGATACCAAACCACATGAGCTGAAAGTTTCTACAAAGAAGAGGAAACGTGTAATTGATAGTATTCTGAATTGTATTTTTAACACCTTTCAGACCCCCATAGCGGCACTTTTAAGAACCGGTTTATATACACAAAATACAACACTAGCCTCAGAAACACCCTGGCTCAATCCCGCTCTCATCTGTCTCAAAATCCCAAGATTTGCAACAGAAAGAGTCAAACTCGGCCACTGTGCAGCACTCTTAAACACTTACTCACTATCATGGATTCACCCACCCACACACTCATTCACATGCCTGTTTATGGGACATTGCGGTGCACAAATTGGCTGCCACATTCATGACAAAATACATAGTCACTACACTTTACAGTAAATCCTGCGAAGTGCAGAAGCCTTTCTGCTGGGAAAGCCGCTGAATCAAATGCGAGCATTGTAGTTATTAATTGGCCCGCCAGATGCTCTTCAAAAATTTTTTGTGAGAAATGTGCGATTGATATTTGGTAATGTGGCTGATTTTCCCCAGGGCTTTGGGCTATAGTTAACAATGCTGGGATCACAGCGTGGGGCGAGGTGGAGTGGAACACGTTGGAGAGCTATCAGAGACTGGTTGATGTTAATCTGTGGGGAAGTGTACGGACGACAAAGGCTTTCCTGCCACTTCTTCGGGAATCTAAAGGTGGGTTACCGAATCAAATCTCTTCCTTTCACTCGGTGCATGGCAGTTCTTTGGAGTCCGGTAGTTTAGTAGTCAGAGCACTCACCTCACAAGCGAGAGGACCTGGGTTCAATTCCTGGGCAGGACAAAACCTGTTTTGCATGTTTCCTTACTCCACAAGCCTCTGTTTAACAGAGTGCTGCAGTAAGTGCTGCTCAATTGGTGGATTACTTTTCCGGGGGTAATAATCCCTTAAGAAAATAATAAGAGTAATAATTTGGCCACTCAGTTCACTACCGTATTGGGACTCTGCTGCACGCAATTGGCTGCCGGGTTTCAGCCACAAAAATATACAGTCAATTCACTTTACAGTATATTCTGTGAAGCTTTTTGAGACGTTGCAAAGATGTGATAAGGTGTTGTATCAAATGCAATGATTATTATTGTCATTGTTGTTTGTTGTTATTGTTATTGTTGTTAGTATTATTATTGCTGTTTGTGTTATTACGTTCAACTGCAGAATACACAGTCACTACATTTATTTTGAGATGTCCTCCTGACAAAATTATGCTTCTGCAGAAAGCAATATTGTATAAAAAGCATCAATCTGGAACCCAGCTTGCGATGTGCAGTGTTTCAATGTCTGACAGTTTGAAAGCCACAGACTCGGGCAAAACCACACAAACTTCTGGGAATGTGTGTAATGCCATCTTTCATAATCCCGTTGGTGTAAGAGTGAGAAAGGAGAAATCCCACCCGGATCCATTGTTTAGGGGGAGGTCAGCTGGTGTCTGTGACATGAGGAAACCCATCACCATGCGTAAGAGTCTCCAAACCAAGCTGAGAATTCCCTGCATCCCACCTATACATGGAAATCCCAGAGATAGATTGTTGGAGTGGAATGTGCACTCTCTCCCTGGAGGGACACATCCGGTTTACCTAAGTCTGGAAAGTATTAGGCACAGGTTGGCAAGAGACAAGGCTTGGGGACACCAGAGTGTGCATTGGGGTAACTGTTGGGAGTCCAACCAGCTAAAACCGCATTGGTTGCCATTGAGATCATTGTCTGGCAACCTTTCCCATTGCTTCTCCAGTTAGGAACCACCGTTATGGCTTTGGCTTGCAGGGTTAACAGGAGCTGAGTGGGAGGATTCCTTGTCTCTGTGATGGCTGCTAATTCAGAGAACTCCTTTCTTTAGGAGAAAGTGTAGAATGCACTCAACCACCCTCTGAAAAAATCATCAATTTGACATTTTTATAATGATGGTAATCATAACCAAAGAGGATCGCAGCTGGGTCCAGATTGATGTTTTTATGCAACAGTTGAGAACGTCTAGAGACAATCGAGACCAAAACAATCTGAAACACTCCATAAATAGAGTCAATCTCAACCCAGATGGAAATTCTCCCCACATGAGCTTATCCCCAGACTCAGCACTTTATCGCTATCTAAGTCAGAAACTGGTTTATCCGTCTATCCACGCCCCCAAAGTATTGCTTCAAGAGATTCACTGTAAAGTGCAGTGACTGTGTATTTGATAGACAAATACAGCAGCCAATTTGTACACAGCAACTTCCACAAACAGCCATTGAGTGAGTGACCAATATTATCTGGGGGATTGTGCACCAGGGCACCGGGAGAGAGAAACACTCTTCTCTTTTCAAATAGCGCTGCAAAATCTTTAACGTCCACGTTACCAGGGCACAGAAAGGCCCTCAGTTTAACATCTTATCTGAAGGATGGCACCTCTGACAATGCAATGCTGGGATCTCGGCTTTTCACCCTATATAGATATGACTTGGATGAAGGAATAGACTTTAATATGCAAATTTGCAGATGATGCAAAGTTAGCAGGCACAGTAGACTGTGCAAATGGGAACAGGAAGTTACAAAGGGACTTAGACAGATTAAGTGAGTGGGCAAAACTGTAGCAGGAGGAATTCAATGTGGGGAAGTGTGAGGTCATCCACTATGGATCCTAAAAGAACAAAACAGAATACTTTCTAAAAGGTGAGAAACTAAGAACTGTGGAGGAGCAAAGGGAATTGGGTGTCCAGGTACACAAATCACTAAAAACAAGCTCTCTGATACAAAAATGAATCAAAATGGCCTTGATTTCAAGGGGCTGGAATATAAAGGAGAGGAAATGATGCTTCACCTATATAGAGCGTTGGTCAGACCCCATCTGGAGAACTGCGTTCATTTTTGGGCACCACACCTCAGGAAGGATACATTGGCTCTGGAGGAGGTGCAGGGCAGATTCACCAGAATGATACCAGGCCTTAAAGGGTTAAATTATGAGGACAGGTTGCATAAACTTGGTCTATATTCCCTTGAGTTTAGAAGGTTGAAGGATTATCTGATTGGGGTTTTTAAAATAATAAAGGGACTTGATAGGGTAGCTACAGAGAATCTATTTCCTCTGGTGCGTAATCCAGAAGAAGGGGCATCATCTTAAAATTAGAGCCGGGCCATTTAGGAGTGAAATCAGGAGGCAATTTTTAACCCAAGATTGTAGAAATCTGGAACTTTCTCCCCCAAAAGGCTGTGGATGCTGAATCCATTCACATTTTCAAGACTGAGGTGAAAAGATATTTGTTAGGTCAGGGTATCAAGGGATATGGGCCAAAGGCGGGTAATTGGAGTTGTGGTACAGATCAGCCATGATCTTATAGAATGGCGGAACAGGCTCGAGGGGCTGAATGGTCTCCTCCTATTCCTATGCTCCCCCTAGCACTGCCTGAACTGTGAGCTCAGAGTCCGCGACATGAACCCACAACCTCCTGACTTTAGAGGCGAGAGTGTAGCAGAAGAGAAAGCGATGTTACACAGAGATTCTGGAGAGTAATGTTTATTTTTTTTATCTTCAGGTCGGATCGTATTTATGTCTAGCATCTCAGCGACCATCCACAGCAAGGGTACCAGCATGTACGCCATCACTAAGAGTGGGATCGAGGCCTTTGCTAGATGCCTGACGCATGAAATGAAAAGATTCGGGGTGAACGTAAGCTGCCAATTTCACTTTTGCTGTAACAATAGCTAAGAATATGTTAGACACTCTGTCTACATCACAATATTCAGGATCAACTCCAGGAGACTCGGCCCCACAATTCTTTGGGGGAAGGGGGTTCAGCCACATGCGGAAACCCATCACTGTGCCTAAGAGTATCCAAACCAAGCTGAGGTTTCCATGCATCCCACCTACACATGGAAATCCCAGGGAGAGATTGTTGGAATGGAATGCGCACTCTCTCCCTGGAGGGACACATCCTGTTTACCTAATTCCAGAGAGTATTAGGCGCAGGTTGGCTTGGGAACCCCAGAGTGTGCGTCGGGGTAACTGCTGGAGTCTAACCAACTAAAACTTGCAGGATTAACAGGACCTGAGTGGGAGGATTGCGATTGTGAAGGTTGTGAGTTCAAACTGGAAGTTGGGACTTTGTGCTCACAATCCAGGCTGAGGCTCCAGTGCAGTGCTGGTTGGAGCGCTGCATTGTCAGAGGTGCCGTTTAAGGATGAGACGTTAAACTTGTCTTTGTTTGAACAGTAAAAGATCTGTTTTAAAAAATACTGTTTCATTATGATTTTAATAATTTATTTCAGTCCCTCTTCCTTGCCTCCTCCTTGTTCATCTTCAGATCACAAGACCTTGTTGTTAATGTTGATGATGATGTTGATGTTTGTGGGCAGGTCTCAATCGTCCAGCCAGGAAACTTTTCCAGGGCGACAAACATCCTGCAGGAGCCAACATTTGAGGAGGTTTGGAACAAGCTAAGTGACATGGTGAAGGAAAGCTACGGCAAAGACTGCGTGCAGAATTACATCCATGGAATACGTTATGCACTTAGCCATGCAAACAAGAATGCCACTGACGTCACAAACATCATCATCGAGGCCCTGATGTCACCCAAACCAAAGATCCGCTACTGCGTGACATCTGTGCCCGAGAGTATTGTTCTCTTCATCTGCAATCACTTCCTCTCCTGGGACCTTTACTTTCTTTTCAATTACATAGAAGGGCAAATAAATAAAGCCTGTACCTCACAAAACTAAGTGTTATGGCGTGTGAGGCTACTCACTAGCTATGTGGAGAGACTAGAGAGACTGGGTTTGTTCTCCTTAGAGCAGAGAAGATTAAAGGGAGATTTAATAGAGTTGTTTCAAAATTATGATTGGTTTTGGTAGACTAGATAGGAAGAAACTGTTTCCTCTGGCAGGTGGGTCGGTAACTAGAAGACATAGATTTAAGATAATTGGCAAAAGAACCAGAATGGGGGGGGGAGGTGAGGAAAATTTTTTTTAACACACAGAGAGCTGTTACAGTCTGGAATACACTGCCTGAAAGGGTGATGGATGCAGATTCAATAACAACCTTCAAAAGGGAATTGGATAAGCAATTGAAAATAAAAATTTGCAAGGATGTGGGGAAAGAGCGGTGGAGTGGGACTGATTGAGTAGCTCTTCCAAAGAGCCGGGACAGACACGATGAGCCGAATGGCCTCCTTCTGTGCTGTAATGTTCTATGATTCTAAGAATCTGCCTGTGGACATAGTTGGGGTTTTTTCTCAATTAAAATACAAGTGACTTTGGTTCCTCTGTTCACGGGATCCTAATATAAACTTTCAGTTTACAGAATAAGCTGATAAACCCTACATCAGTGTCATGACCCGCTTGGCCTTCCCCCAAGTCTACCACTGTCTCTCCCCTCAGGCTGCCGAGCCCTCATTCACGCTTTCATCACATCCAGGCTTGATTCTGCTTAACTTTCTGCTATTCCCAACTCTTCCCTTCACAAGCTGCAGATTATTCAGCAACTCATGTTCTCTCCTGTACACCCCCCCTATCCTCGCCCAACTCCACTGGTTCCTCTGGTTATCCCATAGAGGATAGAGTTCAAAATCCTTGTCCTCACCTTTAAAACCCTCCATGGTCTTGCCCCTCCCAACCTCTGCAACCTTCTAAAACCCTATCAACCTGTCCACTCCCTTCACTCAGCAGAAACTAGCCTGCTCCATGTCCCATGTCCCACCATCGGAGGTTGGGCCTTCAGTCTTTCTGCCGCCAGCTTCTGGAACTCCATCCCACAGTCCCGCCGCCTCATCCCCTTCCTTGCCTCCTTCAAGGCCCATCTTAAGACCTTCCTCTTCAACTGTGCCTTTGGTCATCTTCCCATTCACACCTCCCTGCCCTTGCCCTCCATCCCTCTTGACTCCAACCCCCAGCTCAAGGACACACCCTAGAGTGTCCAGTGCCTTGGGACATCCTCCCGATGTGAAAGGCATTGTGTAAATGTAATTTGTTGGTGTTGGTGGTTAGCTCCGCTACTAACCATACCTCCGAACCCAACATTTTGGCAGCTCAGGTGCGACCCAACACAAGAACCAAAGTTCACAGTTTTTCAAAATTTTCTATGATAACTATAATAATAATAATTCTTGCATTTGATATAGCGCTTTTCACATCTTCTAGACGTCTTAAAGAACTTCACAGAATAGACTGTAAAGTGAATTGATTGTATATTTGTGGGAGAAATGTGGCAGCCAATTGTGCACAGTAGTGTCCCACAAACAATCGTGGATTGAAATTACCAATTTATTATTTTTTGAGGATTATAACTATCACTGACATCATTGCACCATGCTCATTTATTCACTCGAAGTTAACATTGTTAAGTAAATTACACAGGTGTTTATTATTTAATGGAGAGATATACGTCAAGAATAATAAAAATAATAATCATAATAATCTTAAATACTTCCATTGTCTTTTATGTCAGAAGGCTGTCCCAAAGCGCTTCCAAGTGTATAATATCTAGTGATCCTGTGTTTAGTGGGAGTACGAGGCAGCCAATTTGCACACAGCAGTGTCCAACAAACTGCCAAAAAGTCGGTGACCAATTTTATCTGGGAGATTTTCACCCAGGACATCGGGAGAGAGAAACTCCTTTCTCTTTTCCAATAGCGCCTCAGGATCTTTAACATCCAACTGATTAGGCACGGACTGGGCCTCGGCACTGAGCTGCTCCACGTCCCCCGGCCTGCCTGCTCCACTTTCAGCGGTCAGCGGCATTTAACCTATCTGTTCTCACCCTCTGGAACTCCATCCCGGAACACCTCCACCTCACCCGCTTCCTTGCCTCCTTCAAAGCCGATCTCAAGACCTTTTAGCCCGGGAAAGCTTGCCAATCGCTGGCAAGCTATGCGGTTTTAGCTGTTTAGACTCCCAACACACACTCTGGGATCCCCAAGCCTTGGCTCTTTCCAACCTGGAGTTAGGTAAGCAGGACATGTCCCTCCAGGGAGAGAATGTGCATTTCATTCCAACAATCTGTCTCTGGAATTTCCATGTGTGGGTGGATGCATGGTAATCTCAGTTTGGTTTGGAGACTGTTAAGCACGGTGTTGTGTTTCCGCATGTGTCAGACACGTGGCTGACTTCCCCATATAATCCCTCCTCCACCCTCCCTGGCCGCCACCCCTCTCTGATCGCAACCAGCAGCTCGAACCAGCAAACCCCTCATTGTCCAGCAACTTGGGACGTCCTCCCGACGGGAAAGGTGCTGCATAAATGCAATCTGTTGCTGTTGTAGGTGAGGGAAATATATCTCAGGAAAGGAGGGAAACAAGAGAGGATAATAATAACAATCCTTGCATCTGATACAGCACCTTTTACATCAGGAGGATGTCTCAAAGCGTTTCAATGACCAGTTTTATTTGGAGGATTGTCGGCCAGGACACGGGACAGAGAAACTCCCTTCTCTTTTCCAATAGTGCAGCGGGATCTTTAACATCCACCTGAACAGGCACAGACGGGACCTGTTTACCATCACAACTGAAGGACAGCACCTCTGACAATGTGTTATTCCACCAGCACTGCACTGACGCTTCAGCTTTTTAAGTGTGTTTGGTTGTTATTAACACATTAACATTAACACATTGTGCATGAACACTACATTTTGGGAGAAAGAATAGATTTACTATCAGAATAATAGTCTGATTTACCCAAACGATTTTGCGTACTTTATTTCCGAGTACACAACTTGATCAGTAAAAGTACAGCAGGATTACACCTACTTTCCAATTGCACAACACGCCTCAAAGCAATACTGAGAGGTTCATAAGCTCCATCATGTTTCAAATCCCTTAAGCTCAAAAGGTATGTCTCAACACACCAGCCTGAGCTCTCCATTTAGACATTTACGTCCATTTTTCTCCTCTGATTAATGCTTCTTCCTATATCTTCAGCACCACCTCCTCATACTCTCTACTTTGAACCTTGTTCAATCTTCTTCAAGATATTTTTCCTGAACGGCTTCAAGTAATCACTGAAGTCCACCTCATAGCCAAACGCTTCTCGTTTCTCTACTCGTTTCTGAATGAGGTCCTCCGTCGTGGGCAGTTTGCCCCACACCTGAAAGACAATGATGGACAACGGTCTCGTCAATGAGCTTGGGTTGAGAGCGAAGGAGAGTGCTGAATTTAATAATAATCATAACAACATGCCTCACATCTGGTACAATGCCTTTCACGGAGGAAGTATTGAAAGGATACACTGTAAAGTGTCGTGACTGTGTTTGTGGGCGAAACGAGGCAGCCCATTTGTGCACAGCAACGACCCACAAACAACCAGCTATATTGCTACAATTCTACTCTGACCGTAGAATTCCATTTATTTGGGCTCCTCAAGTCTGGTTGGGGAAGGATTACCGTTTCAAACTTCCAACAAACTGAAGAAAAAACTGATTGCACTATTAAGACAAGATGGGTTTGGATGAAAAGACCCCTCAGCCAATCTGTTCTCCTCCCTCCAAAACACCCACCCTAACGTCCCCCCATCACAGCATCCAGCTGCTTTGTAAATGAGTCCCAGTGTCCTGGCCTCAAACCCCTTCCTGGTAACCTGTTCCAGTCATTAATTACCCTCTGGATAAAGAAACACTTCCTGGTGTCTGTCCTGAAATTGCCCCTTTACAGCTCTAACCCTGTGTCCTCTTGTTCTATTGTTTTGGTGCATCCGAAAGTAATGATCTGGGCTTATTTTTTCAATCCCATTTAAAATGTTATACACCTCTTATGAGGTCCCCTTTTCTTTCAACCCTGAATAGCCCCAGCTTGTCTAATCGTTGCTCACAGCTCATTCTTCTAACACAGCCTTGTTGCTCTCCTCTGCACTGTATTTGGGGTCTGGACAGCCCGCTGAGGATAGCAAATGTACATTTGAAATCCAGGCACCCTATACAATTCACATTGATACACAGATGTTACAAGGACGGCTCAAAGTGTGTGAATAAATAGCTGCAAACCCAGAGTGTGTGTTGGGGTAATTGCTGGAGTTTAAACAGCTAAAACCACTTAGCTTGCCATTGATCTTGCTGCCTGACAAGCTTTCCTCCTGCTTGTCCAGCTAGGACCACTCTACAGCTTTGGCTTGCAGGGTTAACAGGAGTTGAGCCGGATGATTTCCTGCCCCCCGTGGCTGGTCCTCCGCCTGTAACAAACTAAAACCTTACGAACCTACCTGCTCCTTCTGCTCAGCGGGTACTGACATCCACATCCCTGCCCTGTCCACTCCACTTTGGGCCTTCAGCTTTTCTGCCCCCATCCTCTGTAAGAAATCCATCTTACGAGTCCCTCCACCTCACTTGCCTCCTTGAAGGCCCGTCTCAAGACTTTCGGTTATCCTCCCATCCCTCCCTGCCCTCCACACCTCTTGATCCTAACCCCCAGCTTGGGTGCAAACCCTTCACTGTCCAGGACCTTGTGTGTGTGAGTGTGTGTACGTACGTTTCTCGGGGTGAAGGTGATATCGATTTTCCTTGGCAGCCCGCTGCTGAGCAGGGTGCTCTTATGCACAATGCTGTCCTTCGGTTCCTCAGTTTTATGACGGGCTCTTGGCATTTTGACGGGCGATGGAGGTTTAAACAGCTGTCGTCAAAGCAAACACACCGATATGAGAGCAAAGGGAAGAGTTGTTTTTATTTTCAGACTTCTTAAAAAAAATCTTCAAAATCGATGCAGCTACAAAAACTGTTTACATGTTTGTGTGTTTTGGTCAGCCGGGTGTCTGACACACTCGGGAAACCCATCACTGTGCTTACGAGTCTCCAAAACAGACTGAGATTTCCACGTGTGTCACCCACATATGGAAATTTCCCTGTCTGCAATGGAATGCGCTCCGTCTCCCTGGAGGGACACATCCTGCTTACCTAATTCCAGAAAGCATTAGGCGCAGGTTGGCAAGAGCTAAGGCTTGGGGACCCCAGTGTGCATTGGAGTAACCTCCAGAATTTTCACCAGCTAAAACCACATAGCTTGCCATTGAGCTTGCCATTGTCTGGCAAGCTTTCCCGCTGCTTATCCAGCTTCAGTGATTATCTTACATGTCTTACACAGTGCCTGGCAATGGGCTCAGCAAACTTTGGGTTTATTTAGCCGGGTGTCTGCCTCTCTCGAAATCTCTCCAACGTGCTTATGAGTCTCCAAACTATACTGTTCACTGTATTACTCTCCTCCCCCCGCCCCAACAAATAATAATAATCCTTGCTTCTGATAGAGTCTATCACATCAAAATGCCTGAAAGTGTTTTATAGCAATAACTGTAATTTGTAGGGTAATGAGACAGTCAGTTTGCTCTCCCCGCAGTAAAGTGAGTGACTGATTTTATTTTGGGGATTATCGGCCATTATTGGGGATTATAGCACGTTTGTTGAGATGTCTCAAAGCGCTTCATCGGATATACCGTGAAGTGAATCAACTGCAGATTTTGTGGGCGAAACGGGGCAGCCAATTGCGAACGGCACTGTCTCACAAACAATGGTGCAGTGAGTGACCAAATTATTTTTTTGCAAGGATTATTTTTATTGTTGACATTTGTTGGTGGTGAAGTTGGAAAGGGTGCGGAATATAAGCGCTGGTTACCGTTTCTTTGCCCACGGTTTTGGATGGAGGCCCTGAGGCCCCTTTGCCTTTAACCTTAACTTTCTCTTTCACTTTGGGCACTTGAATGGATTCCATTTTCATTCTGATGAGATCCACAACCCTGATGTCCGAGTAGGCATAGGCAATGTCCAGCGCATTCTGCCCTGCATTCGGTGACAACATAAGACCATAAGAACATAACAACAACAAATTACATTTGTATAGCGCCTTTCATTTCAGCAGGACAGCCCAAAGCACTGGACATAAGAATTCGCCCTGAGAAAGAAGACCAAGGTCCATCTAGTTCGCCTTCACCATTCTGGCAGTCGCTTGGCATGTCATTTCCCAAAGTATATACTGTCTCCCCAGATATTATTTTCTAGCAGAAATCTATCTCATTTGTTCTTGAAACAAACAACATTTTCTGCTTCCACCATTTCTCTCTCTCTGTCGAGAGCCTCTCCAAAAAAACGCAGTCTTAAATTAGGTGATAACAAGCTACAGACTGATCTGAATCAAACCGGGTAATCTGTAACTTCTTACATAACAATTAAATGCATTTATAACTTTGCGGTGGAGAAAACAAACCCAGGTCCCTGGTTGCTTCGCCATACTGCTGTGAGCAGGCTTGGCTACGATTTTATTATCAATAAAAATCACCTTCGGTGAACCAATAAAGGCACATTGGAAAAGGAGCGTAGCAGACTATTGCACTACAATAAAGCAGAGATTGAAACAGTGGGCAGAGAACCTATGGAAGTGTGTACAAAGACAGATCATACAAGATAAAGTTTCACATTGTAAAATTAAAAGCCGATACACTGCTCAGACTGCAAATATCATTGAAATGGGGTTGCTCAAAAGAATTCGGAGTATGGAGACAGAAGACTACGAACAAATGGAGCCGGAAGAAAACACAGATCAATCATTAAGAGTATGTCTCAACCCACAACAATTAAACAACACAACAGAAATGGAGGGAAACCATGAATTAAACCAAGAAAGTAAAAAGATATAGAAGAATGTCATGGGAAATACGCAGAAAAAGGACAGAGGAAGAAAAAGAAGAACAGAAGGAAGATCCGAGGGTGGCAGAAACTTCGAGAACCACCAGGTCAGGACGAGTAGTAAAACCAACATGGAGATTAATTGAAGAAGACTGAGACAAAAAATAAGAAGCAATCAAAAGATGTTGGATAACCTTTAAGAAAGTTAAGGACCAATGAAAGGGAATCAGGAGATCAGGAGGTAGAAAAGCAGGGAGAAAGAACTGACTAGACGGTTTTTGGTTGGATTGTTTGACTTGTAACTTGCGAGCCGAGAATAAAAGAGTTTTCTACACATTGAGTGTTGAGAACATAACACTGTTACCAAACATTGTCCTGCCCGTGCCCTGCAACCAGGTTAACCTAGGAGACCCTGCTTATCTCCGGTTTAACAACAACAAGAACAACAACAACTTGTGTCCTCCATGCCGAGTGGTGTCCCTGAGCACTTTAACAATGGCGGAGCCCAAAATCGAGCCAGGGGGAGGGGGAAGATAACCGAAGGCACGGTCGAAGAGGAAGGTCTTCAGGAGCAACCTGAAAATGGGGAAAGAGCGGGCGAGGCAAAGGGACTGAGGGAGGGAGATCACAGCTTCGAGGCTTAGTGGCTGAAGGCATGGCCACCGATGGTGGAGCGGAGGATTCAAGGGACAAGGAGGAGGCTGCAGCCAGTAGAGCGGAGGCAGCAGGTAGTGCTGTAAGGAGCAAGGAGGTTGGAGAAATTGGGGGTTTCGAGGTGTGGATGGATTTAAACACTAGAGTGAGAACCTTGTGTCTGTATGCGTGTCTCTTTCTCTATCTGTAAGTGTGTGACTCTCTGTGTCTCTGTGTCTCGGAGTGTGTGGGTCTCTGGGTTTGTGAGTGTGTGTGTCTCTCTCTGTGTGTATGTCTCTCTCTGTGTCTCGTAGTGTTTGTGTTTCTTCGTGTCTGTGAGTGTGTGTGTGTGTCTCTCTGTGTCTGTGAGTGTGTGGGTCTCTGTGTTTGTGAGTGTGTGTGTGTCTCTGTGTCTAGGAGTGTGTGTCTCTCTCTGTGTGTCTGTGAGCGTGTTTGTCTCGCTCTATGACTAGGAGTGTGTGTCTCTCTCTCTCTGTGTCTGTGAGCGTGTGTGTCTCTGTGTCTCTCTCTGTGTCTCGGAGTGTGTGTCTCTCTGTGTCTGTGAGAGTGTGTGTCTCTCTGTGTGTCTCTTTCTGTGACTGTGAGTGTGCATCTCTCTCTGTGTCTGTGAGTGTGTATGTCTCTCTCTGTGTCTGTGAGTTTGTGTGTGTCTCTGTGTCTAGGAGTATGTGTGTCTCTCTGCGTCTGTGAGTGCGTGTGAGTCTCTCTCTGTGTTTGTGAGTGCGTGTTTGTCTCTCTCTGAGACTAGCAGTGTGTGGGTCTCTCTCTATGTCTGTGAGCGTACGTGTCTCTCTCTCTGTGTCTGTGTGCGGTGCCAAGCCTTGAAAGGCAGGAGGTGGTGAGCCCCTGTAGCCTTGATAGTGTGTCCCCCGACCCCCACCACCCCAAAAAAAAAAAACCCGGTATATTCTGTGAAGCACTTTGAAGACGTCTGGAAGACCTGAAAAGCGCTGCATCAAATGCAACGACGATGACGATGATGATTATTATTATTATTATTGTTATTATTATGAGCTGTTTCCCAGGCCGTTACCTTTCTTGTTGAGCAGCTCCACGTCGGCGCCGTACTCGAGCAGGCAGCTGACGATCTCGAGCCGGCAGCTCTCGATCGCCCTCATGAGCGGCGTGGCCCCGTAAATGGAGACCGCGTCCACTTGGGCCCCATAGCGCAGCAGCAACTCCACAATGTCCAGCTGCCCTCCGTGGCAGGCATGGTGCAGCGCGGTCCACAGCAGGTTGTCATGAACATTCACATGGGCCCTGGGTACACACACACACACACATAGAAACATGAGGAGGCCATTCAGCCCCTTGAGCCTGTTCCACCATTCTGTATGATCATGGCTGATCTGTATCTTAACTCCAATTTAAACACCTTTTGTCCCCTTATCCCCTGATACCCTGACCTAACAAATATCCATCTACCTCAGTCTTGAAGATGTGAATGGATTCAGCATCCACAGCCTTTTGGGGGAGAGAGTTCTAGATTTCTACTGTCCTTTGGGTAAAAAAATTGCCTCCTGATTTCACTCCTAAATGGTCTGGCTCTAATTTTAAGATGATGCCCTCTTTGTTCTGGATTCCCCACCAGAGGAAATAGTTTCTCTCTCACACACACACACACACACATACACACAACCCTGCTCACTCTCGATTCGCATCACAGTCAGCAATCATGGAATCCCGTAGAGTTGTGGAATCCCGTGGCGTTGTGGACCTGGGTTTGATTCCCGGGCAGGACAAAACCTTGGGCAAGTTTCCTTACTCCACGCTCATCTGTTTGTAGGACACGACTGTATACTATCTATACGCCGCAGAATATACAGTAAAGTGGATTGCCTGCATACTTTGTGGGTGAAACGCAGCAGCACTGTCCCACAAACAGTTATGAATCAAGTGCCAAATTTGTTCTTTGATGGATTATTAACCCTAGAAAGCGATCCATCAATCTACTAACAACCGGGTTCCTACTTACTGCTGGGTAAATAGAGACTTGTGGAGGAAGGAAACTTGCCCAACGTTTTGCCCTGCCTGGGAATTGAACCCAGGTCCTCTCGCTTGCGAGGCGAGTGCACTACCCACTGAGCTACCGGACTCCACTATTAAAATGAAAAGGGGGAAGGAGTCAGGCTTACCCCATCTCCAGTAGGTACTTGGCAACTTTCAGGTTGCCATCGGCACAGGCCGTCATCAGGGGGGTTTTGTAGTACTTGTCATGTACATCGATGGGCACTCCGTCAAAGAAGGCCTTGGTCAGGGACTCCACGTCCTCCGACTTGGTGGCGTAGTTGATGTTGATGAAGATGGGGTCCGGCTTGTCCAGGTACCATGCGGAGTCGTCCTGCAGTGGGTGTTCGGGCGGGTGGTCCCGGTCAAAGCGTTTGGGGTCAGTGAAGTTCTGGGCATCCTCAATCATGAACTCGGGAGGCCCTCCATCGGCCCTCCGGCGCAGCATATTGGGGGGCACTATGCAGATGGGGATGGGGATGTTCAGTTTGCCCTTCTTGCCTCTCCTGCGCCCCTTTTTCTTCTTCTTCTTCTTGGGCTCGTACGAGGAGATGAGGTAGGCCTTCTGCAGGTACTTCTCGCCCCGGAAGAACTCATTGATGTTGATGACGCCTTCTCTGGCCTTGTCGTGCATGCGGGTCAGGGTCAAGATCTGCTCGGGCTCCAGGGGGGCGCTCCGCTCCTGCAGCACTGCGTCAAAGTCTTCCTTGGTGACGGTGTCATCGCCCCTATCCACGGTGGCGAAGGCGTTGCGGAGGTTGTTCGTGCGCCAGCGACCAATCGTACAGCTTGACGGCCCATGGCTCATTGGGATTCCTCGCTCCCGGTTTGGAATACTTGTTGAAGATCCTCTCAGCTTTCCGCAGCTCCTTCATCACCAGTTTCTGACCATTGGCTTTGGCCGCAGTTCGCGGCGTCTGCAAAGCCAGGTTTTTTATTTTAGGGTTACAACCTGCGGGGGTGGGGCGGGAGTGGGGTGTTGGGGCGGGAGTGGGGGAAAGAACAAAATACATTAACATGAAATGGCAGGGACTTTAAACACATCACCTTATAATAATAATAATAATCCTTGCATTTGATGTAGTGCCTCATCATGTCTCAAAGACATCTCAAAACACTTCAAAGTAAAGGCTGCAACCTCAGACAGCTGCTTATCTCAAGGCTGAGAAGCAAGCAGGCTGTGAGAGGCTGCCCACAAGTTGTCCACATCTCTGTGCAAAGCAGCCTGCGAAGGGTGGGGGCTATCTATCTCTGTGACAAGGGGAGGTGGAGTTAGAAACTCATAAAAGATGTAACTTTGAAATAGTTGGGAGTTGTGTAGAGGGTCAGCGCACTTCCCAGTGGAATCGATATGGATTCCTGTATCTGTATCTATGTATACAGGGGTGAGGGAAATTTAACTCCAGTAAGAAAGTGGCCATTAAAAGTGAATGAGGAAGAGTAGTTGGTCAGCAGCACGAATGAGGTGCTGGGCTAAGAGCGGATTGTTTCTGTTGAGTTACAGGAGCCACTCTCTGTGAAGCTGTGTGATAGCTCTGTGATCTCTCCAGTGTATGTCAAGGTCTGATCCCAGGCACACTGTTTGGTCTGAAGTACGAAACAGGGCCTGGATATGTGTTGTCGCCCCTCTATCCTCAGTACTACTGTTGTTGAGTATGACTGGTTGGGTACGAGAGTTTACCATATGCCAGGCTCTGTTTAGTGTTTGTGTTACAGAAACAGTTGTCCCTGAGGGATTTATTTCCAGGGGCTGATCTCTGCTGTGTATTTTGTGGTGAGTTACAGGGCCCGCCCCTGTGCAGCAATTCTGCCCACAAAGCCTACAGCCAATCCTATACAAATATGTTACGGTTCTTGCACTCTCACGCAGCCCGACATCTCTCTCTCCACCCCCAACTGGCCAGCTTATGTCTGTAACTCTGTCTGTCCAGCGCCTTGGGACGTCCTCCCGATGTGAAAGGCGCTATACAAATGTAATTTTGTTGTTGTTGTTGTGTGTTGTTTGTCTGGAGTACTGAGCAACCCCTGTGCATGCTGTATGGTAAATGTTTTGCACACATAGATGTGTTGTACTGCTATTGTGCTGTTATATATAGTATAATTTGATTAGATTGTTAAAACTTATGTTTCATCTTATACAATAAAGTACGCTCTTATCCACCACCTGTTGAATTATTTGCACGGGGTAGACTGTAAAGTGGATTGACTGTATCCGCCTTTTGTATCAGGAGGACATCACAAACCACTGCGGGGTGGGGGAAGGGAGTTAAGGGGTGTGAGGGAAGGGAAAAGATGAACGAAGGAGCGGGTCACAAAGACGGTGTGTTATTCAAGCAGTTTTGTGCTGCACAACATCAGAAGAGAAGAGCTTTGTGTCTAACACAGAAATGCGCTGGTACCTCGCTGGGTCAGAAACCTGACGCAGTCAACAAAGCCACCCATTGCAGCCAGATGCAGAGCCGTGTTTCCATCCATGTTAATCACATTCACGTCACAGTCGTAAGCGATCAGGTCTCGAAGCACCTGGAGGGTCAGAAATCTGCCGTCACCCACTCCTCCTCGATTACCCGTAGCTGTGCCCCACTCGTCTCCGCTCTGAACCTCTGCTCAACCGAGCATTCAGTCACTACACCCCAACCTGTTACTCCATGCCTCCTTCCCACTGCCTCCCTTTCAATTTAAATGCCACCTGAAGACCTACCTCTTCAACCATGCCCAAGGATGGTCCTAGCTGGACAAGCAGCGGAAAAGCTTCCCAGGCAGCAATATCAATAACAAGCGATGTGGTTTTAGCTGTTTAGACTCCAGCAGTTACCCCAACGCACACTCTGTGGCCCCCAAGCCTTGGCTCTTACCAACCTGTTCCTAATACTTTTCGGAATTACTTTCTGAAACAGGGGGCTTGGTGTGTGTGTCAGTACAGGGGGCTATGTATGTGTGGGTACTGGGGATTGTCTGTGTGTGCGCGTGTGCTTGTGTTTGTGGGTACAGGGGGATGTATGTGTGTGTATGTGTGTGTGTGTGTGTGGGGGTACAGGGGGCTGTGTGTGTGTGGGTACAGGGGGCTGTGTGTATACGTCTGTGGGTACAGGGGGCTGTGTGTATGTGTGTGTGTGGGGGTGTAGAAGGGGCTATGTGTATATGTGTATGGGTGCAGGGGGCTGTGTGTGGGTGGGTGGGTACAGGGGGCTGTGTGTATACGTCTGTGGGTACAGGGGGCTGTGTGTATGTGTGTGTGTGGGGGTGTAGAGGGGGCTGTGTGTATATGTGTATGGGTGCAGGGAGCTGTGTGTGGGTGGGTGGGTACAGGGGGCTGTGTGTGTGGGAGGGGGGTGGTGCAGGGGGCTGTGTGTGTGTGTGTGGGTACAGGGGGCTGTGTGTATGTGTGTGGGTACAGGGGGCTGTGTGTATGTTTGTGGGTACAGGGGGCTGTGTGTATGTGTGTGGGTACAGGGGGCTGTGTGTATGTTTGTGGGTACAGGGGGCTGTGTGTGTGTGTGTGGGTACAGGGGGCTGTGTGTGTGTGTGTGGGTACAGGGGGCTGTGTGTATGTTTGTGGGTACAGGGGGCTGTGTGTGTGTGTGTGTGTGTACAGGGGGCTGTGTGTATGTGTGTGGGTACAGGGGGCTGTGTGTGTGTGTGTGGGTACAGGGGGCTGTGTGTATGTTTGTGGGTACAGGGGGCTGTGTGTATGTTTGTGGGTACAGGGGGCTGTGTGTGTGTGTGTGTGTGTGTGTGTGTGTGTGTGGGTACAGGGGGCTGTGTGTATGTGTGTGTGTGTGTGTGTGGGTACAGGGGGCTGTGTGTATGTTTGTGGGTACAGGGGGCTGTGTGTGTGTGTGTGTGTGTGTGTGGGTACAGGGGGCTGTGTGTATGTGTGTGGGAACACTTCTCAGGCACTGACAACATCAGTATCCAAGGCTGCACTCTCCACCTCTCAAAGCCGGTCAGGAACCTCAGCGTTCTGTTCGACCCTGAGCTGTCCTTTCTCCCTCATATCAGCGCCACAACTGGCACCGCCTTCCATCACCTCCGGAATGTCGCCAGACGACTGCACTACCTCACCCCTCACGCTGCTGAAACCCTGGTTCACGCCTTTGTCACCTCAAGACTGGACTATGGGAACTCTCTCCTCGCCGGCCTTCCCGGCCCTCCCTCCACACTGCAGGTCATTCAGAACTCTGCAGCTCGTGTACTGTCCCGCACCAGACACCGCGACCACATCACTCCCACCCTCGCTCGCCTCCACTGGCTCCCCATCCCCCAGAGGATCGAATTCAAGATCCTCATCCTCACCTACAAGGCCATTCACGGCCTCGCTCCCTCCTACCTCTCCGACCTACTTACCTGCCCATACCCTCCGTTCCTCTGGCTCCGGTCTGCTCCACATCCCCCGCCCCAACCGCCCTACCATCGGTGGTCGGGCCTTCAGCCTCTCAGCCCCGAGGCTCTGGAACTCCATCCCCCAGTGCCTTCGCCGCCTCCTCCCTTTCCTCCTTCAAGGCCGGTCTCAAAACCTTTCTCTTTGACTGTGCCTTCAGCTCCCCTCTCGACTCTCTACCCCCTCCTCGCTCCCTCCCTCCCTTCCCTCCCCTCACCCTGACCATTTCCCCCCTGCTCGGGCCCTGACCCAACTGTACAGCGCCTTGGGACGTCCTCCCGACGTGAAAGGCGCTCAATAAATGGAATCTTGTTGTTGTTGTTGTACAGGGGGCTGTGTATGTGTGTCTGTGTGTAGGTAGAGGAGGCTGTGTGTGTGTGTGTGGGTAGTATTAGAAAAGGTTGATTTTAATATAGTTAGTAAGAAGAGCAATAGAAGAATTAATAGTGAATATATTTATATGTGTGTGTGTGTATATCAATACCCATATATGCATGGCGGTAGGAAATAGGGGAGAAAGAAACTGTTTTACTAACATTTTAGGAATTGGCAGAATAAACCACCTTGGTTCTGAAAGGCCAATGGTCAGTCAGTGGTGATGGTGAGAGAAGGCATAGAACAGGCTTCAAGAAGGGCTCAAGAAATCTGCATTCCATGAGGGCACCTAAGCAAAGCTGCTCAGTATTCTGTGAAAACATGCCAATCAGGTTAAATGTTTCTACCTTCCCGCCTTGGAAGGGAGAAGCAGGATGTCCTGTGTTGAAGAATAATGAGCAAGCTGCTTTGTCTCAAAAGGGTCTGCTTATCTAGAAGATATGGGTACAAGGAAGTGCAAAGGTTGAGTTCGTTGGGTACTCGCTAAGATGCTTGTCTGGAGAAGAATGGGGGAAGATCCCGAGGTGGAAACAGTATAACTACCCTGACTTTAGGCAAGTAAGGCAATAGATCCAGCCAGAAAAAGAGGGCAGCTCTGGAGAGAATGTGCGCTGAAACCATAGCAACGGACCGACTGCTCCAAAACTGGCTGTATAGGTTCTGGTACTTGTAGTGGCAGTATTATTTTACTAGTTGTGTATGTGTTACTTTGATCTCTATTACACCTTAATTGGATTGTCGGGTTATTATTTGAACCTCGGGATCGGAAATCCCAACAGTGGGTACAGGGGCTGTGTGTGTGTGTGGGTACAGGGGGCTGTGTGTGTGTGGGTACAGGGGGCTGTGTGTGTGTGTGTGTGTGTGTGTGTGTGTGTAGGTACAGGGGGCTGTGTGTGTGTGTGGGTACAGGGGGCTGTGTGTGTGTGTGTGTGTAGGTACAGGGGGCTGTGTGTGTGTGTGGGTACAGGGGGCTGTGTGTGTGTGTGTGTGTAGGTACAGGGGGCTGTGTGTGTGTGTGGGTACAGGGGGCTGTGTGTGTGTGTGTGTGTGAAGGTACAGGGGGCTGTGTGTGTGTGTGTGGTGGAGGGTACAGGGGGCTGTGTGTGTGGGTACAGGGGGCTGTGTGTGTGTGTGTGTGTGTGTGTGGTGGAGGGTACAGGAGGCTGTGTGTGTGGGTACAGGGGGCTGTGTGTGTGTGTGTGTGTGAAGGTACAGGGGGCTGTGTGTGTGTGGTGGAGGGTACAGGGGGCTGTGTGTGTGGGTACAGGGGGCTGTGTGTGTGTGGGTACAGGGGGCTGTGTGTGTGTGGGTACAGGGGGCTGTGTGTGTGTGGGTACAGGGGGCTGTGTGTGTGTGGGTACAGGGGGCTGTGTGTGTGTGTGTGTGTGTGTGTAGGTACAGGGAGCTGTGTGTGAGGTACCTGGAAGAAGCCTCCCTGAGCAGCAAAGTGTCCAGCGTTGCACCTCTTATTGTTCATAGCATTCACGTCACATCCTTTCTCCAGAATTGCATGAACAACCTCCATCGCTCCCTCCCGGGCTGCTTCAATTAGCACCGTGTGGCCTGTGCTCTGAAAACCAGTGAGCGACAATGTAATAGGTGTCAGCCTGGCTCAGTCCCCCCAGCCCCAACCCGTTGATATCGGGTTAGCAGGTCACAGTGATAGGAAGGAGCAAGGCCAAGGTGGGCCTTGAAGGCAAGGACAAGGATTTTGAACTCTGAGGGATGGTGAGTCAGTGGACCCGGGCGAGGGTGGGGGATGATAGGGTCACGGAGCCTGGTGCAGGAGAAGACACGAGCTGCAGAATTCTGGATGATCTGTGGAAAGAAGAGTTGGGAAGGCTGACAAGCAGGGAGTTGGCATGTAATAAGTGCATGAATGAGGGTTTCAGCAGCCTGAGGCAGTGGCGGAGCCAGACGATGAAGCGCTCTGGGAAGCTACTCCGCATGAAAGGTGCTATATCAATGCAAGTTATTGTTGTTGGACACAGTGACTGAGCCAGGCTGACACACACACAGTGACTGAGCCAGGCTGACACACACAGTGACTGAGCCAGGCTGACACACACACAGTGACTGAGCCAGGCTGACACACACACAGTGACTGAGCCAGGCTGACACACACACAGTGACTGAGCCAGGCTGACACACACAGTGACTGAGCCAGGCTGACACACACACAGTGACTGAGCCAGGCTGACACACATTGACTGAGCCAGGCTGACACACACACACACACACACACACACAGTGACTTACCTCAATCTTGGAGTTGGGGTCGGCCCCGTGCTCCAGGATCTGAAGGCACATTTCAGTGCAGGCGGCTGCCTGCTCACAAGCGAGCAGGAAGACAGGCTTCCCGTCATTGGCACAGTTATTGACGTCCGCTCCGTGTGCCAACGCCATCTCCACACAGCGCAGATGCCGAGTGGTGGGGCAGATGCAGTAATACAGGATGCCTGCGGCAAGCAAGGGGTTAACAAACACTGAGCGGAATCCCAGGAGCAGGAAACTATTCTCTTATTAAAAGCTGACGCGTTTGATAGCGGTCGGTAAAAATATATGAATCAAAACAATACTAATTCTCATATATAACATCACCTTTCATGTTGAGGGCCTTGGGCTCAGCATCAGGGGCTCTGATACACCGTCCGGCCTGAAGGGGCGCTATATAAATGCAAGTTGTTGCTGTTGTCGTCGAAAGGCAGACGTCTCAAAAGCACTTCGCAGGATTTCCTGTGAAATCTAGTGACTATGCACTCATTGTGCCTGCTTCACGTCCCACCGCACACTATCTGGTCACCATCGGCGGGTGTGCTTCAAACATTCCCCCCCCCCCCATCTTCCTCCCTCACACTCGGCCCCAACTCCAACCCACAGCCTCTCCAACTCGCCCTCTCCTCCCAAAGCTCTCTCAACACCATGACTTACAATGTGAATTTCTGTTGCATCAGGACACCTGAAGTCCACAGGCCTTAGCCTTCTCTTTGACCGAGCCTTCAGCTCCCCTCTCGACTCTCTTCCCCCTCCTCGCTCCCTCCCTTCCCTCCCCTCACCCTGACCATTTCCCCCCTCCTCGCTCCCTCCCTTCCCTCCCCTCACCCTGACCATTTCCCCCCTCCTCTCTCCCTCCCTTCCCTCCCCTCACCCTGACCATTTCCCCCCTGCTCGGGTCATGACCCAACTGTGCAGCGCCTTGGGACGTCCTCCTGACGTGAAAGGCGCTTTATAAATGGAATCTTGTTGTTGTTGTTGTTGAGATATACACAACGGTATTTTATAATACTGTACCACTACTAATGATAATACCTGTACAGTAATTTGATGCCGCGCCTTATCATGTCATCCTAATGTTCTAAGACTTGCCTCTTCTCAGTGATTTTGGTCATCCTTTCCCCCCTTCCCTTCCCCCCACCTTCTTCAGCTCTCCTACTCCCCCATCTTGGGTATCTACCAAATACACAGTCACTACACATTAATCCTGTGAGGTGCTTTGAGATGTCTCAACAACAATAAAATTATAGTTTTTCGGACCCAACAACATGACAAGGCACTGGTTCATTACAAAGCAAGAATTTTTTTTATTACGCAAATTATATTTGGTACAGTACCGTTCACGTCGAGAGGGCGTCTCAAAAAGCTTCACAGAAATGCACTGTGTGCTGTGCTTTGAGACATCCACCCGATGTGAACGGCGCTGTGTAGATGTAAATTGTGCTGCAATGTATTTTGTGGGCCAAAATTGTACAGAATTAGCAGTAACAGTTCACTCCTGCTCTGAACAACTGCCTCGGGGGAAACTTCAGTGGCAAACAAGTTTATAGTAAACCTTTTTTTTTTAATCAGACACCTGAAGCCCCAACAGTCTTTTTCCTTTAGATATACACAACAGTATATATAAGAATGCTTGTACAGTATTCGATACAGCACCTTATCATGCCATCAGAGCGCTCAAAGTGCGTCACAGGGATTTCATAATAATAATAACAATCCTTGCATTTGCTGCAGTGTGTTTCACATCGTCGATACATCTCAAAGCGCTTCATGGGATATACCGTAAACCTATTGTTCAGCAGCCAATTGTGTACAACAATGTCTACCAAGGAGTGAGCAACCAATTTTATCTGGGGGATTGTTAGCCAGAACACCGGGAAAGAGAGAGAAACTCCCTTCTCTTTTCGAATATCAATACTACCATCACTGGTCGGGCCTTCAGCCTCTCTGCCCTCTATGGAACTCCATCCCACATTCTCTTCGCCTCACTACCTCCATTGCCTCCTCAAGGCATGGCTCAAAACCTTCCTCTTTGACCGAGCCTTCGGCCACCTTCCTACCCTCCCCAATCCCCAGCTTGGGTCCAAATCCTTACTGTCCAGCGGCTTGGCGTCCCCCCGACATGAAAAGCGCTGTACAAATAATTTTGTATTGTATCTTTTTAATGTCCTGAACAGGCGTAGATGAGCCCTCTGTGATTCCAAGTCCCAACCTGGGGCTTGAACCCACAACCTTCTGACTCAGAGGCGAGAGCGCTAGACATTGAGTCAGATGAGGAAACAAAGGAATTGTAGGTGAGCTTGAGGACCTGAAGGTAATCTGCTGGGAGCTGATACTGTATTGGTAAATGAATTGTTCAGGTAATTATCACTAACAAGTTCAGGCACGTTGACTTTTTGTTACTGTGAAATTCTGTGCGTTTTTTAATTGCCAGAATGCAATGATGTGGGCTGAGTTTCTCTCCTGGCAATACATACAAACACAGCTGTTTGGTGGTAGGCGAACGGACATACACACACAACACGCACACGAGCCGGGCTGACACACACACACATACACGAGCTGGGCTGAGATACAGTGGCATTGAAAGAATGAGACACGGCGTTGTCTGCTGGACCTACCTCTTCCCTCCACGTCCACGATAGTCATGTCTGTGTTGGCGTCCGCCAGGACCTGGACCGTGGCGTTGTGGCCCAGCTCGCCTGCTTTCATGGCAGCTGTGCGGCCTTCCTTGTCCACCACATCGGGATGTGCATCCAGGGACAGGAGGAACCGGCACATCTCCACGTCATTGGCGGTGGCGGCCAGGTGGAGAGCACACTCCCCATCAGTAGGCTCGCTGACATTGATGAGGTAAGGCAATCCCAGGCGAATCAGCTTCTCCACCTCCCCCTTGTCTCTCTGCCTCACACATTGCAGGAGTTTATACACCTATACAAGAACACAGTTGTTATGGTCTGAAGGACACAGATTCAAAAAATTGGCAAAAGAACCAGAGGGGAGATGAGAAGACATTTTTTTTACCCACAGAGAGTTGTTACGGGCTGGAATGCATTGCCTGAAAGGGTGGTGGGAACAGATCCAATAACATCTTTCAAAAGGGAATTGAATAGGGACTTGAAGAGGAAAAATTTGCAAGGATATGGGGTAAGAGCGGGGGAGTGGGACAGCACACAAGGAGGCCATTTGTCCCATCGTGTCTGTTGCCGGTTCTTTGGAAAGAGCTACACAATTGAATCCCATCCCCCCCGCGTTCTCCCCGTAGCCCTGCAAACTTGTCCAAATAATTATCTACTTCTCTCTTAAAAGTTGTTATTGAATCGGCTTCCACCACGCTTTCAGGCAAAGCATTCCAGATCTGAATAACTCACTGTGTGAAAAAATTTCTCCTCATCTCCCCTCTGTTTCTTTTAACAACTATTTTAAATCGGTGTCATCGGGTTACCGACCCATCCTCCAGTGGAATATTCTATGATACTACAACATAAGAATTTGCTGGTGAAGAAAGACTAAGGTCCATCCAGTTCGCCTTCCACCATCCTGGCAGTCGCTTGACATGTAATTTCCCAAACTATATACTGCATATGATGTTCTAGCAGATATGTAGCTAATTTATTCTTTAAACAAACAATGCTTTCTGCTTCCACTCTCCCTAGAGAGCCTGTTCCGTAAGTTTAATACTTCCTCATTGAAGTCGTGTTTCCGCAGCTTGTTCTGAATTTAACCCCCTTCAATTTTAGGCCATTTCCTCTGTTTCTACTGTTCAGTACAAGAAAACAGCTTCTCATGGTCTATGTTATCTATTCACCTGCAGGGTCTGCAGGCGCCCTTCAGCTATGATCGACATGTCTCCATCGCCAGGGGCTCTCCCTCACATTCGGGGCATTCTGGGGGCACCAGAAACACTGGTTAGAATTATTAATAATAATAATCCTTGCATTTGAAAATGCACCTTATCACAACTTCGAGAAGTCTCAAAAGCACTTCACTGAATATACTATAAAGTGAATTAACTGTGTATTTTGTGGGCGAAACGTGGCAGCCAATTGCACACAGCAGTGTCCCACAAACAGTCGTGGATTGAGTGACCACATTTGTTTTTAAGCAATTATTACTCCCAGAAAAGCAATCCGCCAATCGACTAACAATCGGGTTCCTACTTACTGCTGGGTAAATAGAGGTGTGTGGAGTAAGGTAACTTGTCCAACGTTTCGCCCTGCCCGGGAATCAAACCTGTGTCCCCTCGCTTGCGAAATGAGCACGCTAACCACTATGCTATGGACTCCATTCCAATGAACAACAACAAATGAAATTTACACAGTGCCTTTCATATTGGAAGGTCTTCTCTAGGCGCTGGCTGTTCAAGGGTTTGCACCTGAGCTGTGGCCAGGCATCAAGAGGGGTGGAAGACAAGGGGGGGTTGGGACAATAACCCAGGGCACATTTGATGAGGAAGGCCTTGAGATGGGCCTTGAAGGAGGCAAGGGAGGAATCGAGGCAGAGGGGCTGGAGTTCTAGAGGGTAGGGGCAGAGAGGCTGAACTCCCAACCGCTGATGATGGAGTGGGCAGGGTGGGGGACATGAAGCAAACTGGAGACCGCCAAGGGGAGGGAACAGGCAGGTTGGATGGTAGGGTTTTAGGAGGTCACAGAGGCAGAGACGAGCAAGATCACGGAGTGTTGTAAAGATGAGGGCGAAGATTTTGAACTCTATCCTCTGGAGGAACGGGAGCCAGTGGAGCCGGGGGAGGATGGAGGTGATAGGGTCACGGAGCGGAGTACAGGGGTCAAAGGCCTCCACTGCTAACAAGCCGGGCTGCGATCCTTGAAATAAAAATCGTTAGAGACACTTTGTTATAATGTGGGGTGTTGGGTCCCCCTCCCCCACCCCAAAAATTAGGCCTCTATCATAACACTTGTCTTTGCTCAGCCTGGTATCTGACACGTGCGGAAATCCATCATGATGTTTAAGAGTCTCCAAACCAAACTGAGAATTCCGTGCATCAACAACAAGCACAAATTCCATTTATATAGCGCCTTTCATGTCAGAAGGATGTTGCAAGGTGCTGGAATCCCACCTACACATGGAAATCCCATGGAGATTGTTGGAATGGAACGCGCACACTCTCTCTCTCTCTCCCAGGATGGACGCGTCCTGCTTACCTAATTCCTGAGAATATTAGGCGCAGGTTGGCAAGAGCCAAGGCTGGGGATCTTGAGGCGAGAGGAGTGTGCGTTGGGGTACAACTGCAGGAGACTAACCAGCTAAATATATCATAATATGAAAAAAACGGGCTCTCCGGGACTCTCCCCCGCGTGAAGGGCGCTGTATAAATGCAAGTTGTTGTTGATGATGATTTCACCAAATCCCTCAGTGGGATCAGAGCAGACCTGACCTCCACTGACAGCAGCCTGTCACTGCCTCACTCACACTGCCCGCCATTCAGCCATCACTCAAACAAGGAGAAGGGGGACAGGTGGAGGGGGGAAGCTGGGGAGAGGGGGGAGAGAGAGAGAGAGAAGAGAGTGTGTGGGGAGGAGGGGCGGAGGGGGAGAGAGGGGAAGGGAGAAAGGAGAGGAGAGGGTGTTGGGAGAGGGAGGAGGGGGGTGAAAGAAAGGGTGAGGGGGAGGGGGGGGGAGAGAGTGAGAGAGGGGGGTGGGGGAGGAGAGAGAAGAAGGGGTGAAATGGGAGATGAACAAACCTGTGGCGGATTCTGTAAACTGAGTGAAGTGCGGGTGGTCATTGATTATGAGAAGTCATGTCCTCTGCCCCAACACTGATGTTCTGTGTCTGTGTCTCTCTCTGCGTCTGTGTCACTGTGTCTGTCTGTGTCGTCTCTCTCTGCGTCTGTGTCTCTCTGTGTCTGTCTGTCGTCTCTCTCTCTGTGTGTTGTGTCTTTTTCTGGGTCTGTGTCTCTCTGTGTGTGTCGCTCTCTCTGCGTTTGTGTCTCACTCTGTGTATATGCGTCTCCCTCTCCCTGTCTCTGTGTCTCTCTCTGTGACTGTCTGTCTGTGTGTGTTTGTCTCTCTCTGTCAGTCACACTTTGGGGTCTCTGTCTCACTCTCCGTCTGTCTGTATCATTCTTTCAATTTGTAAGTTTGTCTCCGACTGTCTCTCTGTGTGTGTCTCGCTCTGTTGTCTGAATAATAGACTTAACAGAGTGACACACTCAGTTCTCAGTGTGCATCTGTGTCTCTTTCTCTCCCGTGTGTCTGTGTCTTTCTCTTTGTGTGTGTGTGGGTGTCTCTGTCTGTCCTGTTCCCCAGTGGGTTTCTGGCTCTCTCTCCGTGTGTCACGATGCGTCTGTCTCTCAGCCTCTCTGTGTCTGTGTCTCTCCCAGTGTTTCTCAGTCTGTGTGTCTCTGTCTCTCTGTGTCTCTCAATTTCTCACGGTGTGTCTAGCTCTGATCTCTGTCTGGTGTCAGTGTGTCTCTGGTCTCGGTGCGTGACTCAAGTCTTTTACTCAGTGCCCTGCTCTGTGGGCTGTGTGTGTGTCTCACTCTCTGGCTCTGTGTGATTTCTGTATATCTCACTCTGTCTTAGTGCCTCTCTGTATGTTTCAGTGTCTCTCTGTGTGTCTCACTCTGTCTCAGTACCTCTTTATATGTATGTCTCTGTATGCCTCACTCTGTCTCAGTGCCTCTCTGTCTGTCTCAGTGTCTGTATGCCTCAGTGCCTCACACTCTCTCTGTGGCACCAGGAATTCTGCCCTCTGTGCTCTCTCTCTGACTCTCATGTGTGTTCTCCTCTGTATCTCTCTCTCTGTGGTGTCTCTGTGTTATCTCTCTGTGCCTGTCTCTGCTCACTGTGCCTTCCCTGTGTTTATCTCACTGTGTGCCTGTCTCTGCTCACTGTGCCTTCCCTGTGTTTATCTCACTGTGTGCCTCTGTCTCTGCTCACTGTGCCTTCCCTGTGTTTATCTCACTGTGTGCCTCTGTCTCTGCTCACTGTGCCTTCCCTGTGTTTATCTCACTGTGTGTCTGTCTCTGCTCACTGTGCCTTCCCTGTGTTTATCTCACTGTGTGTCTGTCTCTGCTCACTGTGCCTTCCCTGTGTTTATCTCACTGTGTGCCTGTCTCTGCTCACTGTGCCTTTGTGTGTGAGTGTCTCTCTCCGTGCCTGGCTCTCATCTCCGCTTGCTACGTCTCTGTGTGTCTGTCTGTGTGTGTCGCTGCGTGTATCTCACTATGTCTCTCTCTATGTGTGTGTCTCTCTATCTGTGCCTGTCTCTGGTCTCTGCCTTCTGTGCATGTCTCTGTGTGTATCTCACTGTGTCACTCTGCGTGTGTGTGTGTGTCTCTCTCTCTGCGTCTCTATGTGTATCTCACTATGTGCCTCTCTAGGGTCTGTCTGCCTATACTTACTGTGCCTGTGTGTGTGTGTGTCTCTGTGTCTGTCTCTGGTCTCTGCTCACTGTCTCTCTCTGTGTGTATCTCAATGTGTGCCTCTGTGTGTGTGTGTGTGTGTGTCTCTCTCTCTTTTTCTCTGTGCCTGGCTCTGGTCTCTGAGTATCTCACTGTGCGTGTCTCTCTCTTTGCCTGTGTCTGGTCTCTGTTCACTGTGTGTCTCTGTGTATCTCACTCTGTGTGTGTGTCTCTCTCTCTGTCCTTGGCTCTGTGTATCTCTCTCCGTCTCTGCTCACTGTGTGTGTCTCTGTCTCTGCTCACTGTGTGTGTCTCTGTCTCTGCTCACTGTGTATGTCTCTCTGTGTCTGTCTCTCTGTGTCTGTGTGTGTGTCTCACTGTGTGTGTTTCTGTGTCTATGTGTGTGTGTCTGTGATTCTCTCTCTGTCTCAATGTGTGTGTCTCACTGCGTGTGTCTCTGCTCGCTGTGTGCCTGTCCTGGCTCTGGTCTGGCTGGGAGCCTGGTCTGGCTGGGGGTCTGGCTCTGGTCTGGCTGGGGGTCTGGCTCTGGTCTGGCTGGTCCTGGTCTGGCTGGGGGTCTGGCTCTGGTCTGGCTGGGGGTCTGGTCTGGTTGGGGGTCTAGCTCTGGTCTGGCTCTGGTCTGGTCTGGCTGGGGGTCTGGTCTGGCTCTGGTCTGGCTCTGGTCTGGCTGGGGGTCTGGTCTGGCTGGTCCTGGTCTGGCTGGTCTGGCTGGGGTCTGGTCTGGCTGGGAGTGTGGTCTGGCTGGGGGTCTGGTCTGGCTGGGGGTCTGGTCTGGCTGGTCCTGGTCTGGCTGGCGGTCTGGTCTGGCTGGGGGTCTGGTCTGGCTGGTCCTGGTCTGACTGGGGGGCTGGTCTGGCTGGTCCTGGTCTGGCTGGTCTGGCTGTAGTCTGGTCTGGCTGGTCTGGTCCTGGTCTGGCTGGTCTGGTCTGGCTGGTCTGGCTGGGGTCTGGTCTGTCTGGTCTGGTCTGGCTGGGGGTCTGGCTGGTCTGGTCAGGTCTGGCTGGTCAGGTCTGGCTGGTCAGGTCTGGCTGGGGGTCAGGTCTGGCTGGTCAGGTCTGGCTGGTCAGGTCTGGCTGGGGGTCAGGTCTGGCTGGTCAGGTCTGGCTGGGGGTCAGGTCTGGCTGGGGGTCTGGCTGGTCTGGTTGGTCAGGTCTGGTCTGGCTGGGGGTCTGGCTGGTCAGGTCTGGCTGGTCTGGCTGGGGGTCTGGTCAGGTCTGGCTGGTCAGGTCTGGTCTGGTCTGGCTGGGTGTCTGGTCCGGCTGGTCAGGTCTGGTCCGGCTGGTCTGGTCTGGTCTGGCTGGGTGTCTGGCTGGTCTGGCTGGGGGTCTGGTCTGGCTCTGGCTGGTCAGGTCTGGCTGGGGGTCAGGTCTGGCTGGTCAGGTCTGGCTGGGGGTCAGGTCTGGCTGGTCCTGGTCTGGCTGGGGGTCAGGTCTGGCTGGTCCTGGTCTGGCTGGGGGGTCAGGTCTGGCTGGGGGTCAGGTCTGGCTGGTCAGGTCTGGCTGGTCAGGTCTGGCTGGTCAGGTCTGGCTGGGGGTCAGGTCTGGCTGGGGGTCAGGTCTGGCTGGGGGTCAGGTCTGGCTGGTCAGGTCTGGCTGGTCAGGTCTGGCTGGGGGTCAGGTCTGGCTGGGGGTCAGGTCTGGCTGGGGGTCAGGTCTGGCTGGTCAGGTCTGGCTGGGGGTCAGGTCTGGCTGGGGGTCAGGTCTGGCTGGTCAGGTCTGGCTGGGGGTCAGGTCTGGCTGGGGGTCAGGTCTGGCTGGGGGTCTGGTCTGGTCAGGTCTGGCTGGTCTGGCTGGGGGTCTGTCTGGGGGTCTGTCAGGTCTGGCTGGTCAGGTCTGGTTGGTCAGGTCTGGTCTGGCTGGTCAGGTCTGGTTGGTCAGGTCTGGTCTGGCTGGTCTGGCTGGGGGTCTGTCTGGGGGTCTGTCAGGTCTGGGGGTCGGTCCGGGCTCTGGTCTCAGTGGCGGTGACCGGGTCTGTGGAGCTCAGGGCGGCGCCTCCCATTCCCATAGCAACCGGAAGCCGCTCCGTCACAAAGGAGGCGGGGCCTCAGGAGAGCCCTCCCCCCGGGGATACGTCATCCCGAGTGCGTCACAATCACTGTGTTATTGTATCAATATCCGTGTGTGTGTGTGTCCCTGTGTGTGTGTGTGTGTATATCCCTGTGTGTGTGTGTGTGTATATCCCTGTGTGTGTGTGTGTGTGTGTATATCCCTGTGTGTGTGTGTGTGTGTGTATATCCCTGTGTGTGTGTGTGTGTGTGTATATCCCTGTGTGTGTGTGTGTGTATATCCCTGTGTGTGTGTGTGTGTATATCCCTGTGTGTGTGTGTGTGTATATATATCCCTGTGTGTGTGTGTGTGTATATCCCTGTGTGTGTGTGTGTGTGTGTGTATATCCCTGTGTGTGTGTGTGTGTATATCCCTGTGTGTGTGTGTGTATATCCCTGTGTGTGTGTGTGTGTATATCCCTGTGTGTGTGTGTGTGTGTATCCCTGTGTGTGTGTGTATCCCTGGGTGTGTGTGTGTGTGTGTGTATATCCCTGTGTGTGTGTGTGTGTGTGTGTGTATATCCCTGTGTGTGTGTGTGTGTATATCCCTGTGTGTGTGTGTGTGTATATCCCTGTGTGTGTGTGTGTGTATATCCCTGTGTGTGTGTGTGTGTATATCCCTGTGTGTGTGTGTGTGTATATCCCTGTGTGTGTGTGTGTGTATATCCCTGTGTGTGTGTGTGTGTATATCCCTGTGTGTGTGTGTGTGTGTGTATATCCCTGTGTGTGTGTGTGTGTATATCCCTGTGTGTGTGTGTGTGTATATCCCTGTGTGTGTGTGTGTGTGTATATCCCTGTGTGTGTGTGTGTGTATATCCCTGTGTGTGTGTGTGTGTATATATATCCCTGTGTGTGTGTGTGTGTATATATATCTGTGTGTGTGTGTGTGTGTGTATATCCCTGTGTGTGTGTGTGTGTGTATATCCCTGTGTGTGTGTGTGTGTGTATATCCTGTGTGTGTGTGTGTGTGTATATCTGTGTGTGTGTGTGTGTATATCTGTGTGTGTGTGTGTGTATCCTGTGTGTGTGTGTGTATATCCCTGTGTGTGTGTGTGTGTATATCCCTGTGTGTGTGTGTGTGTATATCCCTGTGTGTGTGTGTGTGTGTGTGTATATCCCTGTGTGTGTGTGTGTGTGTATATCCCTGTGTGTGTGTGTGTGTGTCTGTATCCCTGTGTGTGTGTGTCTCTCTGTGTGTGTGTCCCTGTGTGTGTGTGTGTGTGTGTGTCCCTGTGTGTGTGTGTGTGTGTCCCTGTGTGTGTGTGTGTGTGTCCCTGTGTGTGTGTGTGTCCCTGTGTGTGTGTGTGTGTCCCTGTGTGTGTGTGTGTGTGTCCCTGTGTGTGTGTGTGTGTGTCCCTGTGTGTGTCTGTATCCTTGTGTGTATGTGTGTGTGTCTGTCCCTTGTGTGTGTGTAACCCTGTGTGTGTGTCCCTGTATGTGTATCCCTGTGTGTGTCTGTATCCCTGTGTGTGTGTGTGTGTGTATCTGTGTGTCTGTGTCTGTATCCCTCTGTGTGTGTGTGTGTGTGTCCTTGTGTGAGTGTGTCTCTGTGTGTGTGTGTGTGTCTGTATCCCTGTGTGTGTGTGACTGTGTCCCTGTGTGACTGTGTCCCTGTGTGACTGTGTGACTGTGTCCCTCTGTGACTGTGTCCCTCTGTGAGTGTGTCCCTGTGTGTGTGTCTGTATCCCTGTGTGTTTGTGTCTGTATCCCTGTGTGTGTGTGTGTGTCCATGTGTGTGTGTGTGTCTGTCCCTGTGTGTGTGTGTCTGTGTCCCTGTGTGTGTGTGTATCCCCGTGTGTGTGTGTCTGTGTGCATCCCTGTTTGTGTGTCCCTGTGTGTGTGTGTGTGTGTGTATCCATGTGTGTGTGTGTATCCATGTGTGTGTGTGTATCCCTGTGTGTGTGTGTGTGTGTATCCCTGTGTGTGTGTCTGTATCCCTGTGTGTGTGTGTCCATGTTTGTGTGTGTCTCAAAAAAAAGTAACAATAATAATTTGGTCACTCAATCCACGCCGGTTTGTGGGACACTGCTGTGCGCGATTGGCTGCCGCATTTCACCCACAAAATACACAGTAAATGCACTTTACAGTATATTTACAGTATATTCAGTATACTGTGGAGTCCTGTGGCTCAGTAGTTAGAGCACTCGCCTCACGAGTGAGAGACCTGGGTTCCATCCCGGGCAGAGCGAAATGTTGGGCAAGTTTCCTTATTCCACCCGCCTCTGTTTACCTAGCAGTAAATAGGAATCCGGTTGTTAATCGATTAGAGGATCGCTTTTCCGGGGATAATAATTCCTTTTTTAAAAAAAATTGGTCACTCCATCCACAACTGTTTGTGGGATGCTGTGTGCGCAATTGGCTGCCGAGTTTCGACCACGAAATATAGTCAATTCACATGTGTATCAAATGTGTAAGGATTAGCACTGTTGTTTGATTATCTTGGACACATTTCAACCTCACCACAAGCACCTAGTGACCGTTATTGGTGTGATTTGGAAGCTTTCTTTTCCTTTTTTCTTTTGTTCTCTCTCTCGAAAAACTGAACTTTCAAGATTTGTGGGCTTGGCTTACTGATGCATTGGCTGTGTAATTGGATATCGTGTATGTGCATTACTGACTGTGTGTGTGTGTTACTGACTGTGTGTGGTACTGACTGTGTGTGGTACTGACTGTGTGTGTGTGTGTTACTGAGTGTGTGTGTTACTGCCTATGTGTGTATGTGATACTGACTGTGTGTGTTTGTGCATGTGTGCGGGTGTGTGTGCTACTGACTGCGTGCGCATGTGTGCATGTGTGCGGGTGCATGTGTGTGAGTGTGTGTGTTACTGAATGTGTGCGCGTGTGTGTGCATGTGCGCGCGTGTGTGTGCATGTGTGCGCGTGTGTGTGCATGTATGTGAGTGTGTGTGTTACTGACGTGTGAGCGTGCGTGCGGTAAAGGGGTGGGCAGAGATCTAGATCATAGACAGACATCTGTAATATTCAGTATGACACTTTGTGCAAAGGTTACTGTTTATTGGAGTTCAAACCACCTGATTCTGCTGTGAAATAGTCGGCTAAACAGCAGCCAGGCAACGTCCCCAGGTAATAACAGGGTGAGAAATTATTAAATAGTCATTAAACTCATTAAATGAGTTCAGTTTCTCGGTGAAACTCATGTGGGGGTGGGGGGGGGGGGTGGAGATAGCTATTTGTCTTCTGCAGTTGCTACTGTCACGGTTTACACAGGAAGGGTGGAAAATAACAATGAATCAGATGGATCATGTTAGGGTCAGAATCCTTAATTAATTTGCTGCACATGTAATAAATAATAATAATAATCAGATTTTGGAATGAGTGGTTACAGTAATTCAGTGGAGTCCTGTAGCTCAGTGGTTAGAGCGCTCGTCTCGCAAGCGAGAGACCAGGGTTCGATTCCCGGGCAAGGGCGCAACTTTGGGCAAGTTTCCTTACTCCACACGCCTGGTAATAATCCCTCCAAAAAAAAGCCACGAATAAATTGGACACTTCAATCCACGAGTGTTTGTGGGACGCTGCTGTGTGCAATTGGCTGCCGAGTTTCGCCCACAAATATACAGTCAATTCACTTTGCAGTATGTTCTGGGAAGCGCTTTGAGACGTCTCAAAGTCGTGATAAAGCGCTGCATCAAATGCAAGAATTATTATTAGTAGTACCTGGAGCAATGCCTTGGGGGGGGGCGGCCCGAGAGGGTGCGCAGGGCGGAGCCTGGGTTGGTGCCCATGGGAGGAGCCTGTGGTGGGCCGCCGGCCAGGGTCTGGGGGTCTCATCCTGGGGGAGGGGCTTGTGGCCGTGCCTGGAGGAGGGGCCTGTAACAAAATGTGTGGCAGATCCTGGAGCTGTGTCTATGAGCACTGCACTGGAGCCCCCACAGCACTGCACTGGAGCCCCTACAGCACTGCACTGGAGCCCCCACAGCACTGCACCGGAGCCCCCACAGCACAGCACTGGAGCCCCCACAGCACTGCACTGGAGCCCCTACAGCACTGCACTGGAGCCCCCACAGCACTGCACCGGAGCCCCCACAGCACAGCACTGGAGCCCCCACAGCACTGCACTGGAGCCCCTACAGCACTGCACTGGAGCCCCCACAGCACTGCACTGGCGCCCCCCCAGCACTGCACTGGAGCTCCCCCATGGCACTGCACTGGAGCTCCCCCATGGCACTGCACTGGAGCTCCCTCATGGCACTGCACTGGAGCTCCCCCATGGCACTGCACTGGAGCTCCCCCAGCACTGCACTGGAGCGTCAGCCTCGACTGTGAGCTCAGAGTCCTGACGTGGAGGGGGTGGGGGGGGTTGAACCCACAACCTTCTGACTCGGAGGCGAGTGTGCGAGTGACTGAGCTGCGCAAGATTCAAACTTACGTATGACAGGAGCTGAGTTACAGCAGGGGAGCAAAACGGGGAGAGTCAGGGAAATATAATCGAAGAACATGGGAAAAAATTGCTTCTTTAATCATAATTTTTGGTTCCATCTTAAAGTGCAGTCTTAGTAGACAGGTAAATAAATGTAGGGTGTGATTCAGTGTCAGTGACAGCATGAGTTTCCACAGATAATAACCATCATGTTGATTTTGGCTGACACTCACACCTTATGTGTCCCAAATGATGTCATCAGTCTTCTCTGCACGAAACAAAAAGCACTATTAAACCTCCTGCCTTCTTTCCAATCTTATTTTCGCATTCCTCACATTGTATGAGTACAGAACACATCTCAAATTCGCTCCACAGGATTTACTGAAAAGTGTAGTGACAGGGATTTACTGACGGTTCAAGACCCTGGTCCTCAC